ATTTAGACACCCTGACTTTCGCTTTCGGCTTGATAAATTTTTTGGAACATCATAGTTTCGATCGACAACATAACATTACAGTGTTCTCAGTATTTACCAACTATTATTTATTATATTTCCACTCTTTATTTATATTTTCTTTTAATTCTCGAAATTTCTCCAGACATAGACATATCAAGTCATATTGCTAACTTTACGAATTCCGATTCTGCTTCAACACATCATTTTAATGACATAAATTTGACAGAGGGATATTTAAAAGAAATATACCCAAGATTAAAACTAAATTATAAATGGTTTGGGAGAACGCAACGAGGAGAAATTAAAAAATGGTGTAGAAGTGCTAGTAATAACGAAGAAGCTTATAGATGGAGAGGCAGGACTCCAGGACATACATTGACTTCTGGTAAATTTTAAATATAGATTATATACAATTTTCTGCTATGTTTCTTTTGTGTATTTATCATGATAATTGAAGTTGAATGATTTAAATATTTGAACTTAAAATTGACCGAATTTGTATAAATTTAAATCTAATCGTCGCATTAATATATTTTTTTGTAATTGACAAAGGGCTTGATGATTATCCAAGACCAACACCGCCACATCCTGCAGAATTACATGTGGATTTAATGTGTTGGGTAGGATTCATGGCAAGGTCGCTTGGAAATTTTGCTAAAAGGTTAGGTGAATGGAATGATTATGAGGAATTTGATGTTCAGTATAAAAATATCGTTAATAATTTACATGGTAAATTGAAGTTGTTAGATCTAAATTTGTTATTAATCGTTTAATAAAGCATTATCGTAATTCAAAGGAAATTGGTTTTGACATAGATTTGCATTGGAACGAGATAGATAAAACTTTTTGCGATGTTTCATTTGATGGAGGTATGTTATTACAAAATATATTCAAATTCTTATTTATAGTAATTCCTTCATAATGTATGTTATATTTGTTTCCTTTACAGAGAAATCGATTTATGTCTGCCACAAAGGCTACATATCATTGTTCCCCATGTTACTTGGTCTATTACCCAATGATTCGCCAAAACTTGATGCTATTTTAGATCTAATGTATAATCCTGATGAGTTATGGTCACCGTATCCTTTTCTTTCTTTGAGCTATTACCTGGGTTGAGAAAGAATGATCCAGGTCAAAATAACTTGATTG